AGCTCACAGCTTATGCTCCTGGGAATTGTATTTTATTTTCTGAGAACATCCTTTAATCAGAGCCAGCATTTTGTGTCACATTGGCAGGATTGATGTAGAACCTATTGCATGCTAATGCAGAATCCTTCTACGCAGGAAGTGGACAGGATAAACAATAACCATAAACCACTAGATATCCTCTAGAGCATTAACTACTTTGAATGTTTCTTTTGTGCCCCAACCACTTCGTGCAAACAAAGTCATAAACTTTAAGTTGGACTCATAGTTCGGTGTTGCATTCACTTTCTACTATAAACTATAGGGTGGAGCTGCTGGGCTGTGTAAAGACAGGAAGCCACTCAATCACCCCTGACAAAGTACTGTATGTGTGTCTACTAGAAGTGAATACCAATGAGTGAAGGATCTGTACAATACATTTTAGTGGGATATTCTGTTCAATTTAATAAGGATGGCACAACCTCCACTGTCCTTCATATATGCATACTGATATAGTTTGATCACACATGCACCTCCGGGCTTTGATCACCTCCAGAAAAGACAACTTCCTTTTTTATTCATGACTTCAGAAATGACTCTTCCAACATAGGTGTCAGACCACAAGTGTCCAAGTGTGGATATGAAGCTAAAATGGATTTCATATTGGTTCTGTTGATCTGGTTTTGATCAAAGCGTACTTTATCTGGTAACCACTCGTTACGCTGGCAATGATTTCATTTTAATCATTGATAAAAATTATTGGTAAAGCAAATGCAAATCGCTGGCAGTGCCTGTCTTAATTTTAATTACAGCCACATTCGTGCCTTTTAGCTATTCTTTGTTTTAGTGCTTGAGTGCTTTTGTAAATTTTTAATGTTTAAAAGCATGACAAAAAACAATAAATAAAACTAAGTGGAACACTACTGAAACCAGTTCAACCATCAAGGGTTCTTCAGAGACAAAATGTGAAGAATATGACTATTGGATACTCCTGAAATTATGATGAATTTGATTTATTCAACCTCCGATGGAATGCAGAGTGATGTCTTTTCAAGTCTGTAAACAGAAAGATAAATTTAAGGTTTGCAGCCCAATGACTGGTGAGTTGTGAACTGGAGGTTGTTTGTCGTAAAATCAGTTGGGAGATCAATCTGTTTCCAGATCCTGTAGGATTAAACTCAGAAGCCTTTACAAATGCAAAGTCAGCAAGATACACGGCAGCATAAGGTGTCTTTCATTTCCATATATTCAATGCAAGCATCTAGACAGAAGTTGATTATTGTAGGAACTGATTACAGTCTAAAGATTGTATTGGGGATAAATGGGCTCATTCCATGAACATGCTCAACGACATGTCTGCTGTACGAACATCAATACAATCAAGGTTGTAAATAATTCAACCTAAATTTATGCATTAACTGATCCAAACATGTATCAGTTTTTGATAGAATTTAATATAATTTGCACCAGCTTGAGTTATACATACTACAAACTAGAGCAGGCATCCCCAACCTGTTTTGCACCGCGGGCCGGTTTTATGCAAGACAATTTTCCCCAGACCAGCTGCAGGGATGTGCACGTGAGGGGAGGCCACATGCAGAACAAAAAACAATAAGGTGCATCATATATAATTTAATGAATACACCTAATATTCAAATAGGATTAGAAGTTTATATTTTGCAGTTTAATTTATATTATTTTGTGATTTATTTAATACAGTAGCGTTTATTGCTTGTGTTTGGGTCCGACCCCCCCCCCCCCCCCCCCCGCAGTAAGTGAAATTCTGTGAAGTCGTGATGTTATATTTAGTATTTACATATATTTTAAGGCTTTAGAAACCATTCCCACACTCTCGCAATATTCCAAAGTATTACACCTATGTTATTTTAACAACATACATTCATTATTGTATATGTAGCTACTAAATTTTACTCACCAGCTCTGCAGAACACAGCAACAGTGCTCGGTTCTGGTCTGACCCTGTTCTGGTCCAACTCAGTTTCATTTCTGCAGATATACCCTGCAGTGATGAAGCCCACAATTAATGTTCTAAACTCTTAAACCTACTAATTTTAACAACATACTTATGTGTTGCTACTAAATTGTACTTACAAGGGTGTCCCTGCTTGGAGGTCTGCATGGGCTGGCTAGGAGTTCTCGGGTTCACCACTGAGTTTGGTGGTCCAGTTCTGGTCCAATTCAGTGCAGCTCTTGAGCGCCAACGCACATTTTTTGAAGGTGGGGGTGGCATACCTTTGGTTGACCGGCGTGGGACCGTAGGTTGTATATTTGAGTCCAAGTCTGGATGAAAAAAATTCCGATGGGCTACGGAAACAGCTCCAGAACTTTGTTGTGCGTCCCTGCTCCCAAGTCCTCGTGGGCCGGCTACCAGCTCTCAAGATTCACCAATATGTCTGGAGATCTGCTTCTGCTCCAGTTCTGGTCCGGTTCGAAGGGTTCAATGCAGCTTCTCTGCATCTGCTGGGTGCCGATCAGATCAAAACTTTACCTGTTTTTTTTTTTTTCAGCAGAAGGAAATGAGGCTTCTGGGAGGGGCCCTGTTGCCTTTTGGGAAATGTGGTAGTTATGAGCAGGAATAGAGTGATGGCTTACTGAGAGAAAACTACAAGTGGCATCACTTGTCAGAAGTATTTTATTTTTTCGTTAAGTTTTTATTGTAGTACTGTCCCAATCATGTGATTAATGATAAAGTTGATAATCATGTGTCCTGTACAATTTTTTGTACAATATTATGGACTGTATACGTTCACAAACCACGATAGTGAATCCGTGCAATCCAAACCATGAAGTAGCGAGGGACTTCTGTATATTATTTAATATAACTTCTTAGTAATGTGGCTAGCCACTAATACAATGCTCCTAGTAAAGACACATTTAATGAAGTGGTGGTCTTCAATAATTGTTTCTGATCTTTGTCTTCACTTGTTTCCTTTTAAAATCTCCAATGTCTTGTCTTTTAATGAAGGGGGCTCAGTCTCCATGTGAGGAAGTGGTTTTGAAGGTTTCAGGGCTTCAGTGGTCACCACATATCACACAGAGCATGATGTATGTGACTCATTGGATGTGATGAACTGGATGTGATGAACCTGTTGGACCCTCAGTGTTTTCATTAGTAAAGCAAGCGCTAAAATTGTGCAGACAAAAGTGATTTTTTTTTTCAACATAAAATATCAGGCAGACTAACCGAGATAAAGTTCAAAACAAAACTTTTTCATTATTCTTTACAGCCCTGTACAAAATGATCCATGGCCTGGCACTGGTCTGCAGTCTGATGTGTGTGTGTGTGTCGTCTGACTGGATGATTGGGACGGTTACTCGTTAACTCGAGAGCAGTGCAGCCACACAGAGTGAACAGATGGTTGAGCCACTGAGAGGTTTTGGACTTGACACCTTTCAACACTACAACAGAAATCACTGCAACAGCCTGTGACACACACAGACATCCACAAATAAGCCCAGCATTTTAGATTTAATTAACAGGCTGTTATCCTTTGGAAATGTGCTGGGGCATTTGATCATAGATGGTTTTTACTGAATGTAGAAATGTGTAATTTTATTATATTTCATTGAATGAGCAGCCCTGTTGTCAGTCTCTAATTAGGCTATATGGAGTAATGTTTTCATTTGTTTTCAGTATGCAGAGAGTACAATAGTCCCTCGTTTATCACGGGGGGTCCATACCTCGGCGTTTTAAACCCTTCCCACACTCCTGCAATATTCTAAACAATATTTCTAAACTCTAAACACTCTAAAAGAGCACAGCATGTCATGATCTCAGCTCTCTGCCTCTGGCTGCACTCTCGGCCACGCCCACTTCTCCGCTCTGCACGGAGTTCAGCTGATCAGCTGCACGAGGAAACTTCTCCCACAGCTGTGAGCTGCACACAGACCTGTGCAGGAGGTGCTAAATAATTTTAAATAATTTATTTTAAATAAAAAATCCATGCAGATCATGTGGCTCATCCATCAATCAGCCAGTTGTGTGTCATGTCCAATCTTACTTTGAAAAATCGTGATGGAGCAAGTCCACGAAAAATGAACCGCGAAGTAACGAGGGACTACTGTAATGAGTTCATTTGATAATTGGAAACTTTGTATATCATAGCCCCATCTAACACTCCAATCACAAGTTAAAGTATATTATCCATCCATCCATCCATTCATCCATTCATCCATTCATCCATTCATCCATCCATCCATCCATCCATCCAACCATTTTTCCACTTGTTCCAAAGTCGGGTCGCGGGGGACAGCTTGAGCAGGGAGGCCCAAACATCTCTTTCCACAGCCACCTCTTCTAGCTTTTCTGGGGGACTCCAAGGTGTTCCCAGGACCAACCGAGATACAGTCTCTCCAGCATGTCCTGGGTCTTCCCCAGGGTCTCCTCCCAGTCTGCTATGCCTGAAGCACCTCCCTAGGGAGGTGCCCAGTAGGCACCCTTACCAGATGTCCGAACTACCTCAACTGGCTCCTGTCGATGTGGAGGAGCAGCGGTTCTACTCTGAGTCTCTCCTGGATAATTAGACTTCTCACCCTATCTCTAAGGGAGAGTCCAGCTACACTGCAGAGAAAACTCATTTCAACCTCCTGTATCCTCAACCTCGTTCTTTCAGTCACTACCCAGAGCTCGTGACCATAAGTGAGGGTAGGAATGAAGACTGACCGGTGAACAGAGAGCTTCGCCTTACAACTCAGTTCCCTCTTCACCACAACAGAATGGTACAGCATCTGCAATACTGCAGATGCTGCACCAATCCGTTTGTCAATCTCACGTTCCTTTCTTCCCTCACTCGTGAACCAAACCCCAAGATACTTGAACTCCTCCACTTGAGGTAGAGCCTCACCCTCGCTCTGAAGAGAGCAATCCACCCTCGTAAATGTAAATGTAGTTGTAAAAATAATGAATTTTTCTTTTCACTCAGTGATACATATTGTTATATAATGGGCATGTATACCCAATATATGGTATATTTAACCTTGTCATCTGAACATTTTCTGTTTAGAGCCGGAAGCAGGACCTTCCCAGAGAGGAGCAGGGTCCATCTATCAAGAACCTGGACTTCTGGCCAAAACTCATCACTCTCATGGTGTCTGTAATTGATGAGGACCGCACAGCATACACCCCAGTCATTAACCAGTATGTACTGTACTGCTTTATTTGACTTGAGGCATATTGTACCAGGAGATAAATTCAAACACATTTTCAGATTTTGCTTAACACAAAAATGGGCAAACTACCATAAAATAATAACCCATGTTCAAATGTAGTTACGTGTGAAGGTAAATAAAATAAAAAACATACAGTAATTGTAATTTTTACTGTATTTGTTTAAACATGTTGACAATAGATTAAATGATAACCTTCTTAAAGAGTATCTGCACTGTTTTTTTTGTATATGATCATTTGATTCAATAGAATACATTTTAAAGAAAATCCCCACAATTTTTTTTTATTGTTATTTTTACTCATCAGCATTGAATCCTTTGAAAAGTCCACATCAAGGACTTATATTAGCCATAACATTATGGCCACAGGCAATTAAATTGAGTAACATAAAGGCTTAATTTATAAACCGATCAATGCTGCAACACAAATAATGGGCGGGTGGGATGGGGGAGGGGCCTGGGGGTCCTCCCCCAGAAAATTTTGAATAAATTAGATGCAATGTCATGCATTTTGGTGTATTTTAAAAGTTCATTAAACATCTACGCTTACCTAGATAAGTAAACACTCAGCTTCTGTCAAGCTCCCTTCCCCTTACCTGACGGTTCCAAGCTCGATTCGTCCGTCTGCTCATGGCAGCTGCCTGTGGGCTCCTGCCCGCATACGACTGCCTGGTTAGCTCAACACTCACTTAGGGGTGGAGATTTTTTTTAAGGGTAGAGGCAGAATTGCTTACTTGAAGAGGCAGCTCATATGTGATATTAAGAAGCTCATAAGTGGCTGTTGCGTTTAAAATGAGTCTTTATGTAATTATTTTCAGTTTACATATCCAATATAGGTTTTATTCATTTAAGGCAGTCATATTTGTTCATAACTTTATAATTAGTAAGCCTGAGAGTTACCGGATCCAAGCAAACAGTTTCTGGAACGCACCATGTCCAAACGAGAGTTCCCGGATCCTGTTCCAGCAGGATCCGGCTCAAATTAAACCCCGAGTAATACAGTTACTCTTGTTTATAACACAAGGTTCTGCTGAGAATACCTGCATCCTGGCATTCTGCTTTGACTCCTGTCATCTACCCAAACATTTTGCAGCCCAATTAAAGACCCAAATGACACATTTTCCTACAGTAACTGTGTCCACTCAGCAGGACAGTAATTGGTCCCAGAAAAACAGTTTGACGATTGTTTAAAGTTCGAGGTTTTCACTCAGCCTCCATAACTCAAGATACCAATTTGACATAACCTGCTGGGATCTGATAGAATCTGTAGGAAGTAATCACCGTCCACTGACTCCTCACAATTCACAGAGCATCTTTGAATACCAGGAAGTCCAAAATGTTCCCAGGAGTTCTTTGTTCTGACTGGTCTGTATTGGCTTTGCAGTAATGAAGGAGAGCTACTCAGTATAGAGTCGGTGGTCTCAATGTTGTGGCTGACTGGTGTATTTTCAGGTGGGCTGTGAAGCTACCAGAAAAGTAGGTGGTGAAAAATGCGATGTGTGGAGACACATATTTGGAAAAGATAAAACATCCAATCACTGTTGCAAAACCATATAGCAGATCAGAGCTTAGAGTAAAAAATGTATTCTTGTATAATACATATAATTTTATTGAAAATATTTACTCTTTACAAAGAATTTCTATAATATAATAAAGAAATGTTATGTCTACAACAAAAAGTGCCACTGAAGAAATGTGTTGTTCTCCCTCTACGTACATACCCTCCTACATGACTCGCTCTTTTTGTTTTATTGTTTTTTTTCTTTTCTTGCTGATTTATGATGCTTATTAAGACTTTGTTTATGCCCTGAGCTTTCTCTCTTACACTGACTAATGATAGGTCTGCAATATTCATGCCCAGTGTCTCCACCTTTCCATGGTCAAGCTGCAGAGTGACAGCAAGTTTGATGCTTTTTCAGCATAAAGCCATGAGTGGACTTGTTGCCTTTCAATAATCAGCACTGTAGCTAGAGGGAAGTAGCTGTCAGTCTGTTGCTCTCTGCTGAGAATATTTATGTGGGAATCAAGCCTCGGGAATTTTGATCCAGTAAACAAATCTACAGAACTGATGTGACGATTGGAAAACCAAAACTGTATTCTCTGGTTGTTTTTAAAAGTTTAAAGTGTGGGAAGACTATTTCTTAAAATATTGTTTTGCAGAAAACACCTGTTTCTCAGATACAGGTTGTGAACTGACTGCAGATTTAATTCATTTCAGCCCCAGAAGGTGTTTATTGTTTGCCACACTTAGAATACACCAAATGGGTGCATGACAACACTGATGAAAAATTCAGGCAGACAAATATGTTTTGAGATGGCTGGTGATAAAAAGAAGAAGCAAGGGCTTCTATAGTATTAGCGTTTCATCCAACACATACATATTGTTTATTCCTTTTCTGCAGAAATGTCCCATAGAAGAAAAAAAAAAGATAATTTCACTAGAAATCATTGAGCAAATGTGTTTGACAGTGAGGGCACAGCAATCTCCAGCACAAAAACAAAACATTTCCAGATAAATTAACCTTTTTTCAAAACGGGGTTTGTCATCCATAAATGTCCTCCCATGTCTGTAAGATACGGATAATTAAACCACTGACATCTCACATTTAAGCTTTGACTGAAAATCCATAGGCATTCAGAACAGATTACTTGCCAAAGATGTGGCCACCCTCTGTGGCTCTCCTAAGATTTGACATTTCCTCCTGCACTTTTTCTCATCTTTAGGCATGCATCTCAATTTCAGCCCCAATCTAACCAGGGCTGGGTGTAGCAGATGAATTGATTCTGAGATACACCAACCAAATCCTCTTCCCCATCTGTTATTTACTAGAAATTCAGTCTGGGACTATCCATTAGGTCATCCACTTGAGTGTGCCGTCATACGGAAATGAGTGTGATTGGAATCTGTCTCAATCCCGCCAGGTTTCCCCAGGAGCTGAATGCGGGGAAGATCAGCGCTGAGATCATGTGGAACCTCTTTGCACAGGATATGAAGTATGCAATGGAAGGTCAGTGAAGCTATCAGTCACTTATCTATCGCAAAGGTTGTGTAAAAGGAGTCGAGTAAAATAATCTGATAAATGACTGAAATTGACTGAGTGATTATCAAAAACATTAGGCACGTGTTAGCTAATCACCAGCTGGCTGTATTTTATTGCTCTCTTGTTTCTTTTAAACTTTTCAGTGATAGTGTTACTGTGTTAATTTGCTGCGTTTGAGTCTGCTGTTTATTGGCTGGTGCTGTGCTGCGCCTTCTTGGCTGTGTGGTCTACTCTTCTGCCTGTTTAGAGTGCTCTTTTCTGTTACTGACTTTAAAGTCCTGACAGAGAAAAGGAAATGTCCTTAAATCAAAAATAAATATTTGATCAAAGACATTCTAAGATACCTAACTTTTTTTCTACTTTATATATTTTGATGCTTTATTGTCCACTAGTAGCTGTTACAAGCTATGGAATAGAACAGCAATAGAAGAAATAGAATGTAGCAATAGTAATATAATTATTTAAAGGAATGTATATGTTATGCCAGAGTTTTAAACTGAGATCCTCTTATGATGAGAAGGGACAAAGTTTCAACCACTTTTGCAAATGATGGTGCACACCATCTCAATATGGCAAGTATGCTGTGTTTGATGTAAGCACTGAGGATGACTCTCAGCTACTACCACACCAAACCATAGCTCAGTGCCTGCACCACTGAATTCAGCCATGTTTATGTTTAAGGTTGATTAGCAGTGACACCCAGCTTGAATTAGGTTGACTCCAAAAGTTATTAAGTTGTAGATGTGCTGTATATCCAACTGTTTCTTTCTATGAAACACCAGGGAGCCTATGGTTTATGTGCTATTTTGTTAACGTACAAACTGTGTTAATTTGACACAATAATACCAAACTTTTAAGTAAAGATGTTGTGCAATGTATAGCTCTCATGGTATATGTTCCAGAAGACTCTCAACTACTGCCACAACACATATTAGTTAAATATCTGTAAAATTGGTTGCGTTATAGCAAGTTTTGTGTTTATTATTGTTGCTGTGGTGCACTGGTGGCCATCTTGAAATGGACTGACTATAGAAGGTTTTCAACCGTAGATGCAATTTATGTCTAAGGATTACTTTCTGAGAGTTTCTTAAAATCCTTCTAGTGATCATGAACTATTTTGGTAACACAGCAAAGAAAGACAAACACGCACACACATGCACACAGACAGGCAAAAACATTGCCTTTTCACCTTCAGTGCAAAAATAATAAGTATGCATGTAATGTAAATTTACCCCCATCATGTAAATTCAATGCATCGTGCAGTATCATTTTTGTTGCTGTTCCTTTTAAATATTGTACACACAATGAGCCTTTTATTTTATAGATAAAAGTATATTTTGATTTGTATTTTGCATTGTTCTTTTACGACGGGCCAAGAAAAGAGAAATATGGGAATTCTTCACATGAAGGATAGTATTTTTCTTGCATGGAATAATTAATTAGCTGCAGCCATCTAAAACCTAAATCAGCCAGTATGCTTCAAAATGAAATCCCAGTTTACTTCTCTTGTAAGCTCTGCTTGTGAGGTAGATTTTTTTTCTTTTTTTTTTTCTGATATCTGTTGCTTTTATTTTCTGTAACAACAGAAAATCAAGCTTCACACCCCAGATCTGCTTTGCTGGCATGAAAAGAGATATTCCTTGTTTTGCCGTTTGGTTTTGACATCAGTTCTGATCCTACGCTTTTGCCAGACCACCTGCCAGGAGGTAGTAAATGCCTCCTGGAGGCTTTGTTTAAAGCTGGTGGCTTCTGGATCAAACTCTAAAGGATGTAGTAAACGGTGCCAAGGTGAAAAGGAGAACAGGTTTATTAGCACTGGGTGTGTGAATGAACTTTAAAGCAGTTTAATGTGAACATGCTTGTGTTTGGTCAATGAGGATTTTTTTTACGTCTTTTTTCTAAATTTTTGCTTTAAAATAAATGTGAAAGAAGCTTTATTAAACTGACATTTATCATAATAACGCACAGGAAGTTGTGTTCTATTTACCTAAACTATCTTATATGCACTTGATTAAGTCAGGTCTTTTTTATTATATTTATTTAATAAAAGATTAAAATTTTCCAGCATTTAAATGGTCATATTATATGGACTAAGATGCTCACATATCGGCTGAAATTCCACAGAAATGCTTACGATGATGTAGTCAATTTTTATGTTTTCCCCTCTCTCTGCAGTTCTCTCACTCTGAGCACTGATCCAAATTTTAGGTCAGTGTCTTGTTGCAGGTACTGCTTCTGTCCTGCCCTGGATAGTAAAGCAGTCCAACTAAAACTGTTTGGCACAGAAAAATATGTTTTTTTTGCTAACCTTTGCTCAAACATTGCCCTGAAAATAGTTTATTTACTTGGGTCTTTTGTACTGAGAGTTTCTATTAGCCATGAGGACAGCTTTGTGCAGCTGACAAAAGAGCAAGTGGCATGAAAACAAGTGGAAACCAAGAATTTCCAACAGTGAAAAGTCAAAGAAGAACGAGTCAGATTTTTTAGGGAGCAATAGTGGTAAGGTTTGTTAACATCAATATCTGAACTTTATGTTTAGTTTTCTGAATTTGCTTGACAGCATACTGTCAGGTTTTGGCATGAAGAAAAATGGGAAAGCTAAAGGACTTTTATATGCAGATGTAATTTACGTTTCAGTGTTTGAGCAAACAATAAAAACAAACCAAGTAAAAACTTTTTTCAGCATCAGTAGCCACAAAAAACGAGGTTGTGTTGTGTCAAAGTTTTTGACTTTAAATGAACTTCACACACTCAAATACACAGAGAGTGTTTTTTTTATAAGATGTTTAATGTACAATAACAAAGTGTACTCAAACGTGACATTGGTTTTCTGAACTGGGACATTCATGGATATATTGCAACTCTTAACAAAAGAAATTGCATTTCCTGTGAAAATGCCGTGTGAATGCTTATTACAGAATAACTTGCTGAAAAAACAGCTGAAATTAGTAAAAAAAAAAAAAAATCTGAAATGTAGCTGAATTTGAAGAACAAGCTCAAGTTAGAAGAAAGCCTATAGACCACATATTTGCAGATTTAAGTTTAAATAAAAATAAAAAAAGCACAAAAAATAGAAAATTAGCTAAAAAAAGGCTGAAATTAGCAAAACTAGCTAAAAATAGCTGAAAAGACAAAAAAGTTTAAGCTAACAGAAGGAAGCAGAAATAAATAAAATGAGCTAAAAATGTGGAATTAGTTGAAAAAGCTAAAATTAGCATAAAAAGAAAATAGTAGCTGAAAAACCAGTTAACACTAAAACTAGCAGATAAAAGCTTAAAGGAGCACAACAAGCGGATATTAGTACAAATAAGTTAATTAGGCTGAAAGTAGCAAAAAAAATGTGAAAAACTTGAATTTGTCAGAAACCAGCTTAAATGAGCTAAAGCAATGCTATAAAATAGCTGAAAAGGTAGAACAAGCTTAAATTAGCATGACAGCAGAAAAAATACATTTGACCAATTTGGCTGAAAGTCAGAGTCAGAGAGATTTATTTGTCATTCGCATCTCATGACGTACATGTTGTACAAGATTATGTACACAGGGTCCCAGTTACATCCAACAATACAATGTAAAAGAAAAACAGTAATAAGATCTAAGATGTGAACTAAGAAAAACATCAACTAAATAATACACTAAACACTAAAAAGAAAGAAGCAGAAATGAGCACCAAGTGGAAATTATCTGAAAAAAAAAAAAAACAGAAATTTGAAAATAAATAAATAAAAACATCTGAAAAGTAGCTACAAAATCAGAAAAAAGTTTGTTACCAGAAGGAAGTGCAGAGAGCACGTTTGCTGAATTAGGCTGACAAAGGTTGAAATGAGTACAAAAAATGTGGAATTAGCTGCAAAAGCAAAAATTAACATAAAACAGCTAAACGGTGGCTGAAATAGTAGAACAAGTTGAAACTTGCATAAATACGTTGAAAGGAGCATAACAAGCTGACATTTGCAGAAAGAAGTTAGCAGAAGCACAAACTTTTGTAGTTTTTCATTCACTCAACCTTTATTTAAACAGATTAATCACATTGAGTCTCAAAATCTTATTTACAAGTGAGACCTGTTTGGACAGACAAAAACAGTGGTAAACTGGACACATGTAGGAGTTGGAGGCGAAAAAAAACTATCACACTTTTATTTCTTGACTGAGAAAAAAAACCTCTAATATTAAAAAACACCTCGCACAAACAAGCACATATTGACCTAGACATTCTGCAGGGGGGGGGGGGGGGGGGGGGG